TTTCTGAATGGTGAGAAACATTCATAGCTATCCCTGTGGGGAGAGGGGGCGTGAATCGGGCAACTACCCCGGGCCTCACACTTTTTGGAGGGCCATGCGGACAGTGGCGTACAGACCCTGCAGACAATGCCATTGGCACGTGCCAAGGGCGCCACTACTCTGCATGGTCATGGTGCACTGCTGACTTCACGCTCTGGCTGCTCGCCACCCCTCCCCACCCTGCACAAGCCCCGTACAGGCTGATGTGCCCCAGGCCCCACACACCCCTAGTCAGCTCTGGAAATGTTAGTGGGGTTACTGCTGCATAGCACAGTGCTGCACATACAATTCCTTATAACTGGCAAAGCAGGGAAACTTTTATAGAATATAAAACTTTTTTACATAACACAGAAAATGCTGAACATAATAGCAATTGATCTGGCAGCTTTTAATATGATTTCGTTAGAGTATTATTCCATACTTTGTAATACAAAGAAATAGCTAGGAAAATAAAATGGGGAAAGGGGATTTAGATAGCTTGACGTTCTACCATATAACAAACATTTTCCTTAAAACATGGACAAACATCATCACATTCACTTGTGTTTGGTCCCAGCTATTGACTTCTTTCTGTGGCCAGATCAGGCAAATATTGTCACTTCTTTCTGCACCCAAATATACTGTCAGGTGTGTGTGGTTTCTACGTAAATACTCCTGGAGATTAACACTCCAGATGACTGTAACTGTCAGTTTGGACAAAACTCACTTATTTTCTTGGTTTTCTGACAGTGCCTTGCATATAGCCAAGTTCACTATCCCCTTTTCTTCCAATGCTTTATGTTGATTAGTCTACAAAGAAATAGAAAGGTGGAAGTAGTGAGACTATAGTGATTAGAAAGGAAATAGTTGGCAACATAGAAACATGCATTTTTAAAAATCAGGTATTCATTTACATTAGGTTCAATTTGCTAGAGATAATGTTATTCTTAACTAGCCTATATGTGACTTTAACTACCGTCTTAACCTTTGAGCTGTCTTTTAATCAACAAAAGGATTCTGAAATATCAAACACCAGTGCATTGGTCTTGTTTGGGGTTTTTTGAGGAAGATGACTAACTGAATTCCTCATGAACCCAAGTGACTACTGTGAAGGACAGAGATACATATGCATCCATAGTACGAGTTGTAAACTAACTCCCCTTTCAGGGGCTGTCTTGTCCCTCTAGTAGTGGGTGTGGAGGACCAAGTGTGCCTACATACATTTAGGAGCCACATTCTAACTCATGGTGCTTTCGTCTCTATAAGTTGGAAACTGTCTAATACTGAAATCGGGGCCCATTTGGAACATCACCTTGTATATCACACCTATTTTGTATGTACATGGTGTGAGCAGGGTGCAGAACAGTTGGGCTGAGAGAGAGAAATCATGGAAGAAAAGGGCAGGGACTGAGCCAGCAGTATAGAACAGACAGCGAGCAGAGGGTCTGGGCAGTTTCCCATATGAGAGAGAGAAACTGTTTAGGATGTAACTCTTCTTGTGTCCCCTGGACAGCATGGTTTCACTGTGAATAAGTGTTCACAGGTCAAGTCTCCAAGGAGGTCTGCTCACTCTGCCTGAATATGTCCTAACTTCTGCAGAGCTTCCCTTTTCTTATCGCACTTTCCTGCAGATTACCTTGAGGAGGGGATTCATTTTCAAGTTCTGACACTGTCTACACAAACTTTCACACAAAGTTCTAATCCGCAAAGGGAGCTTACAAAACACTTTCTGTAGACAAGCCTATGAACTTCACTTCATAAATCTGCTGGATACAAAAAATCATGGACTCAATATAGACATTGATTTTATGACGCATTATAACCTGTCTGACATCTGATTCACCAGGCCTGACCTGACCTTTTACATTCTTATTTTCCCCCAGCTTTTCTCCCCTCCCCTACTTGTCTGCCCTTTGTCTCCCTGATTTCCTACTATTTCCTTCTTCATTGAGATCCTCTTTCTTACCTTATTACCACCAGAGTGTTTCCCATTGGCCTTTTTCCCCCCTGCCTTCCTCCTCTTCCCTCCCCTGCTTTACCTTTTTGTTTTTCCTTTTTTACCCATTTATATTTTTACTACATTCTCACACTTTGAGCTTCTCTCATTTCTGTTTTCCTGATCTCCAACTATTTCCTTTTTCACTGGCAGCCTCTTTTCTACCTTGTATTCTATCACTGTAATGTCTCCCTTCAGCCTTTTTTCCCTGCTTTCTTCCCCCTCCCCTCTCTGTTTTATCCCTCTGCTTTACCTTTTGTCTTTCTAATTTCAGTGTATTCACATTCTCACTGACATCTTGCCACACTTTTAGCTTCTTGCATTTCTCAGAGCCTCCAGAACAGCAGAGACTTCCTATGCCTGAAGAAGAATGACTGCGCCTGAAAGCTTGTCAAGAACGCCCAAAAGCTTGTCAAGAACCTTTTTCCAACTACTCAGTTGGTCTAATAAAAGATACCACAACTACTCAAAGAACCTTGCCTGCCTATGTCCTTAGACCAACACAGCTACAACCAAAACCTCACCTACACAAACTTTAGTAACTTTTGCTACGGACATGCCAAACTTATGCTAAATCTTTGTCAGTTTGCCTAAACAGTTAGTTGATCATTGAAAATATAAAAGTAGTCTGGCTAAACATAGGCAGACAAGGTTATTTGGGTGAATCTGGTATCTTTTATCAGACCAACTTAAATAGTCGGCAAAAATTTTTAACAATCTTTTGGGTATAAAAACCCTTCATCAGGCTGAGGTAGTCTCTGCAGTTGGTGTGTGCTCTTCCTGGATGGAATGAATAGTAAAGAAGCCAGAGGCTGGGCTGATATGCATGCAACACAGGGAGTCAATGAAGATGTAAATTGAGGGGTCAGTGGGTGAGAGACAGGCTGGTGGGGAGAGAGAAACATACACTTATGTATGTGTGTCTGTCTAAACATATACTTAAAATTCTGAGCTAAAAATGTTTTGTTACTTAGTCCTTTTCTTTTCTTTTGCTTAACTAAGAGATGAATGCAATTTCTTCTAAACAGTGCTGGGGACCAAAACTTTGGATTGCTCTAAAATGTTTGATATATTTAATTGTCTGTTTAGGCACAAAGCATTTCTAATTTTTTGGCAAATAGATCTATTCTGGAAAGTGGTATTCATAAATAGCAAAGCACAAATTAAGAGGCGTTCAGACAGTTGCGTGTATCTTCATTTGAAGTCATTCTTTCTAGTTTTATGTTTTACAACAATAACAGTGAAGTTTCACTAGATAGTTTGCCTTTTCTTCTGTATTCTTTTGCTTGTTCATGCAGCTTCTGATCCTATATCCTACTTGGTAATGTGATGTCTCCTCACAATTAGCTTCTTCATTTTGATAAATGATCTCCTAAATTGGAATGCTTAACTTTATCTTTTTTTAATTATGCAGAATTGCACAGCATTATATTCAGGTAGACACATTTGTTTCTTTCATGAATCAGTATAGCTGTATAATCTCTTCTAGATTTGTTTATAAAGCAAACCAAAATTAAACCCTCAATGGTACTATAATGCAAAGGGTACCATTTAGCTTTTAGATTCCCATCTCCCATTGTGTCTGATGGCATGGGATAACTTGTGACTCTTTGACCATTGTGCATGGCACTTTCTGCTTAAATGTTTGAATCTAGGAAATGAGGAGTTTGTGCAAGAAGATTAGTCTGGGCTGTTGAATAAGAACAGGTGACTGTCAGGTTTTTTTGGTAACCAGAATGTGTTGGATGTCCCCCTCAAGGATATGTTGTTGATCTGACTTAATGGTATATGAAAACTGGCTGCCTTACTGTTAATGTCACTGAATAAGTAGTGTTGTGGTGCACTTCATTGCTATACATAGATGATGTGTAGAGGGGGCACATGCCCCCCCTGAGGCTGGCCCTTGCTGGCCAGTAAATGCGGGCACCAAGAGAAGCGCCAGCTGGTGCCCCCCCTGAGACTGGCACCAGCCAGGGAGTGAGCGTGCAGAGGGAAGTGTCAGTGGCACTTCCGGTTTTGCCGCTGGCACTTCCAGGGTCAGCAACCAGTCCCCCATGCTTCATTAGCTATATGCACTCTTGCAGAGTGTCATGGATAGGCGCTGAGCAATAAATATCCAGAGAGGAAGGCTGGCAACTCAGTCCATAGTTTCTGCTGTGCACTGTGCTTATAAGCCAAGGAAGGTGAAGAAACCAGCTTTAAATTGCTAAAAAAAAGCATAAGGTCAGGAATATGGAGACTTCAGTTCCTTTCCTATCTCTGATATTGACCGAGAGCTTTCTCCCTGCTACAGAAATTTCAACTGAACGTGGTACAGTCTTGGACTATGCTTACAATTAGTTACACTTTCTAGAACGGTGCTGAATGTAATCTGGTAGCAAGCGTGAAATGAACTAAATTGCGCAGGTCATAGTTTTCTATTCATCACGTTGTGTTTTAAGCTGTAGCTAGCATACTTTAGCTGTATTCTCAGCAGTGGATAACATTTGTAATATGCAGCTGACTTTGACTTCGGGCAAGCTTGTTTGCGACTGTTTTACCCCATCTGTGAAACGAAGCTAATGGCCAACACAGGTACTTTGCAAAGGTTTAGTTTTGCTTATTGATTTTGAAATAAGATCTGAACAAAGTACTTTACATATGTGGAGCACTGTCATATTCTTCTATTCAATATGAGCAACACAGCTAAAACAATAAGATTAAGGTTGTCCACTATGACTCTTTATCCTTCAGCCCGGGCTTTTGATTTTCTTTTTTTGAATTTCTCTTGACCTACCGGAGAATTCATGTCCCCATCTCTCCCCGGTTTGGTCAGTTGATCAAGTGATAATCTTTTATTTTTATAATTACAAAGTCAGTCAATGGAGGAAGATCCACTAAAACTATTGAATGATGCCTTTTTTATAAAAAAAAATAAAAAATCAGTTAACCAAGAAGATGTTAAAAGAACTAGCATTCTCAAACAGTTCTGTTTTACTCTTCACAGTATAGAGAAGACTGCAGGAATAAAACGTATCCTCCTTCAGGGCCTACGTAAGTATCTTTAAATGATTGATAAACATTACAGCAAGAAGAGTGAATAAAAAAATAAGTTTGTTTCTTATCGGATCCTATTAAAAGTAATTAATTAAACATCTATTGGATACTCTTAGACGTTGTACTGTAGAAATTTTATAAACCTTTTTTAATGTAAACTTGTTTCAGGTACAAAGGGAATGTTCCTACATACATCATAAATCTTGATTTACCTCCCTACAAACGATGGGTTAATGTGATGAATGACAAAAAAACAGAGGTATGAAATTAAGTGTTTTGCTCTAAATTGTTTTCATTGTGGCTTGTTTACAACATTCTGTTGTTCAGAACCACAGATAAAAGTTCCTTAAAACTGTTATCCAGTTAAATATTTCACACTTCAGTCTTGTATACAACTGTGATGACTCCATTATAATGAAGGTTTTAGAGTAAAATAAAATCACTGTGCAGAGAATTGTTTAATCCATGTGTTACAAAGCAAGATCTGCTGGTAACAAATGGATAGAATGTTTTGGTATGTAATTTCCTCAAGTGATTGGTCAACTTTCTCTTTGTTTAAAAATTTCCTCTCAAATTAAAATAAATGTTTGAAAGAAGAGGAGTGATATGCAAGATGGCCTTTGTGCAGTACATGGCAGTGACTGTGTAAACTCCCCAAACATCCTACTCAACATGCCTGCCTCCTAGTCTGAAATAACTGACTGGTGATGAAAGAGTATCTAATTTTTTTGTACCCATTCCCTTAGCTGGCTTTTCTAATATAATAGATGAGGGAAGTCTGGCATTTATAATGGTGGTTTTGTGATGTAGATGTTTCCCTGTTGTAAATTAAAGAGAAATTACCAGCGTGTAGCAGCCAACAGAATTTTTTGTGTAAAGGTATATTTCAAATATTACAAGAGATGCAGGCTTTGTTCATAAAAAATTGTGATTTAAGAATTTGGGTAATCCACTGAGTCTCAGGAAAACTACTTGTATAACTAGATATTCTTAAGACACTGTGACAGGCATTTTTTTTTCTTACCAGTAACACCTGCTTTCTTGTTCTCTTAAACATATATTTTTCAGCAAAATGTCACACTGAAAATAATGTACAAATTTTTTGTTATCATTCTAGTAATTCTTGTGTTTTAAGATATTTTATTATAACATTCCTCTCTTTCTTTCTAGTTGAAGAAGGTAATGCAGAACATTAAAATCTTAGTAAATGAATTCTTCCCTGGTAGCAAACTTGCTGACTTAGTGGAAGTTAAAATGGTAAGTATTCTCAGCTTCCATTCTTTGCAACAAACTACATGCTCCCATCTCCAGAAGGTTGTCTTAATTTGACAGGCTAAGCATTCTCATGTAATTAAAATTCTTTCAAAATGTAATGCCTCAGTTAGTAACATACTAAGCTGAATCCATCAAAACTGGACTACGGATAGTTACTACAGATAGAGCATGTCTACATGTGTCACTGTGGTGACATTGTTACAGCACCATAATTTAGTACTTCCTTTTGGAAATACTAAAAGATGGCGCAGTAATACCTCATACTGTGCCATGTGCACTGTTAGTTTGGGGCACCGTTGCCATAGTGATGCACTATAACAGAGGAGTGCATTGCTGTGGCATCACAGTTTGTGACTGCCAACACTATGTCGCCTTAATGCGTTGCTACAGCAACATAGCATCATGTGTAGATGCATCCGTAATTATTTAAGGATCCTGTTGAACTCATTTTTTAACTGCACTATCTTGAGGTAATGACAAATATAATAAATAAATATCTGAACACAGCTCTAGTTGTGACTGGGACTTTTTGCTAATTCATATTACATGGTAGTGGATGGGTCCTTCTTGGTAGTGGATGGGTCCTTCTCGACCTGGAAGGACGTGGGAAGTGGGGTCCCACAGGGCTCGGTCCTTGGGCCTGCACTGTTCAATATCTTCATCAGTGATTTGGACGAAGGGGTGCAAAGCACCCTGTTCAAGTTTGCTGATGACACTAAGATGTGGGGGGATGTGGGCACAATAGAGGGGAGCAACAGGCTACAGTTGGACCTAGATAGGTTACAAGGATGGGCGGAGGAGAACAGGATGGGGTTTAACACGGACAAGTGTAAGGTGATGCACCTGGGGAGGAACAATCGGCACCATACATACAGGCTGGGGAACTCCCCTCTTGTCAGCACGGAGGTGGAAAAGGATCTGGGAGTCATTATTGACTCCAAGATGAACATGAGTCGGCAATGTGGGGAGGCAGCTAGGAAGGCCAACTGCACCTTGTCGTGCATCCACAGATGCATCTCGAGCAGGTCCAAGGAGGTGATCCTCCCCCTCTATGCGGCACTGGTCAGGCCGCAGCTGGAGTACTGCGTCCAGTTCTGGGCGCCGCACTTTAAGAGGGATGTGGACAGCATCGAGAGGGTCCAGAGGAGGGCCACTCGTATGATCAAGGGACAGCAGGGTAGGTCCTATGAGGAAAGGTTGCGGGACCTGAACCTGTTCAGCCTTCAAAAGAGAAGGCTGAGGGGGGATCTTGTGGCCTGTTATAAACTGGTTAGGGGGGATCAGCAGGCGCTGGGGGAGTCCCTGTTCCCCCGAGCGCCGCAAGGAGTGACCAGGAACAATGGTCACAAGCTGGCGGAGGGAAGGTTTAAGTTGGACATCAGGAGGCGCTACTTCACGGTCAGGGCGGCTAGGGTCTGGAACCAGCTTCCAAGTGAGGTGGTGCAGGCTCCCACCCTGGGGGTTTTTAAGAGGAGGTTGGATGACCACCTTACTGGGGTCATTTGACCCCAGTGCTCTTTCCTGCCATGGCAGGGGGTCAGACTAGATGATCTGCTCAGGTCCCTTTCGACCCTAGAAACTATGAAACTATATTCTCTATTCTGTATGAATTTAACAACAAAAATGTATTTTTTCCTTTTAATTTCCTGCTTGGATCTGAACTATTTGTAACTGCACAAATGAAGCAGAATTGCATTGAATAAGTTCTGAACGTCAGCAGTAATCTTTGTAGTTAAAAATTTAAAAGATTGTGCTATTCAGCTTTGCAAGGGGTAAAATAGATGCTGTGGTAGTTGGGAGACTTCTGATCTTGACTGTGAAAGACATAAATGTGTACATTGCAATTTCCATATTCTAAGTCCTTTTTAGAGACCTTCCCAGTAGTAGACTGACTACAACTATAGACATATCTAGATATCAATATCTTGAGACAAAAAAAAATCTATATATCTTGATAATTTTGAATTAGTTAAAACAATCAGGGATTGTAAAATGCTTTTTTATTGAGGTGGGGGGTGTTAATAATTTGCTCTTGGATGGTAGACATTCTTGAAACAAGACTTCAGCTGGCTGAGCCAGAGGAGAGGGTAGAAAGGACTGGAGCAGGGAGTGAATGTGTGTTTGTAGATGCAGGACTTCGTGCTCCACAGGTCCTGTAGGTAAGAAACCAAATACACCCCCTACGCTATTTATAGCAGCCTTACATCTGGATTACTGCAGGGGTGGGCAAAATACAGCCCATTGCATCCTGCCCACGGGGCCCCTAAAAAATTTAGAAAATTAACATATATTTGTTCCTGGCTGCCTGTCAAAGATGACAGGAGCCAGGGGCAGTAGGACTTGGGGGGAGCAGGCAGCAGAATGCAGCAGTCAAGCCCTGTCCCATCTCCTGCCTTCCTGCCCCTGGCACTGCTCCAGCACCATGAGTCTCCCAGCTGCATCACCGGACCGGGGAGCACAGGCCTGCACCAGTACCTTGGGGGGGAGGTGTTCATGGAGCACACCCCATCATACACATGCACCTACACCCCTGCACTGCCATACACACAGACCCCCACAGTCCACATATCCACCCACACCCTTCCCCATACCCCACATACCCACACATCCACAGCCCTCCACAAACCTATACCCCCCCCAACAATGTACAAGAGGAAGACTTCATTTTAAGCTATTATATACAATCACCTTTATGTACACTACACAAACACATGTAAATCAGGGCAAAAATATTTTTTGAAGTCACATTAATATTATAGATGCTCTCTTTTTAGAATATAATTTGGTATTTTTCTGGTTCTGAGACGGCAAAACCCTGTGCTGAGAGGAGTACTTCCAGGGGCAAGGAGAGGGACTTCCTGTGGCAAAGGTCAGGAGTTAGGGGACAGGACTTCTAGTCACAAGATGGTGACCAGGGGGCAGGGCTCCTATCAAGGGGCTGGGCTACCCATGCAGCCCTCAACGGCTTGCCAAAATTTGGTAAGGAGCCTTCCACCCAAAGTAATTGCCTACCCCTGCTGTACTGGCTCTATGTAAGATAAGAGTTCTCTGAACAGTGCTAGTCTGAATAGTACCCTGGGTTTGAGTTGTGGTTTTTCACTCGTGTTCAGTTTTTTTCAGGCAGTGTTGTAGTGTGGAAGTGCTTCATTGTGCAAATGTAAAGATTTTGATAAAATTAACTTTGCTTTCAAGCACTTGCTTCTTGTCTTTCAAGTCTGTCTACAGCTCCCCCCCATATACTTGCACATGTGTCTAAGCATCCAGTTTCATGGTGTTTTAATATACAAAGAGGTGCTAAAGGTAGAGCCTCTGTTTGGAGACCAATCTAGCTTTTATTTGTGTTATAGCTTAAAGTTTTTCTTTCAGGTTCACTTGCTTTCCAGTCTTCCCCATCCTTTCAGGGAAGAGATCGAAGGGATTGCAAATACTTCTGGAGCTTCATTGGGTAAGTATTTTCAACATGTCAAAGCCATAATGCCCACATCACTAATTCTTCCTTCTCTAAAATTGGAGTGTATTATCGGATGATATGTGACAGCTGTGTTCAACCTTAACTTAATCAGTGACCTGATTATACACTAACTGGTTACCTATGAGACAGTTTGATGCTTTTAAATGTTTGAAGTAAGAATGAAAGTAAAGGATGTAAGCCCTTCATCAAGCTGTGCCCTATCCCCAGTAGCTTTGTAAAGTAGTTTCCTTTCTGAGAGAGGCAAAAGCTCTTGCCCAATTGTTGTCAGAAGTCTGATCCATCCTTTGGATCATGCACATTCTCTTTGGCTTTCTTTTTCTCTCTGTACCAGCTCCCAAGAAGCAAAGAGGGACAAGGCTTGGTACTATGTTATGCTTTTTTTTTTCTTCCCCATAAAGGAATTCAGTGCCCCCTCTCTGGTTACTCTTATTTCCACCCCCAAAGTCTGGGTAGAATAGGAGACCAACTGATGTGTTCTCCTCAGCAGTCTGTATGGCACGGGAAACCAGGAGCAGTACATAACATATTTCCCAGCATCTCTGGGTTGAGAGCACTAGTACATTATACCATCTAGCCCTCGTAAAAGTTCCTGTGACAATCTCCTCCCCTTAGTCACAGCTGTCTCCCTCATCCGGGGACCTCTGTGCCCCCTCTCTTCAGGGAGCCCCATTTCTAGCCACACACTGTCTAATGATCACTCGCTCCAGAACTTCCTTTCTCTTCCTCTCACACGTCCTACCTCCTGGGAATCCTCCTGGGAATCCTCTGGAGGTGTTTCTGTGTATGGATCTGAGATGCAGCTCATTGCTAATTATGAAATAACATACTTTATAAAGCTGATTGCTGAAGGAGGACACTGTTTTAGTGTCTGGATGGTAATACCTCAAGAGAATCAAATAGAAATTCTAGAGAAATGGGCTGGCAAACACTTTCTTCACTAGACCTCATTTCATAGCTATTTTATCTTATTGGCAGTCTGGCGGGCTGTAAGCTAATACCCTTATCTTTCATTTTCTAGGGGATGTTGTTCTGTTTAACGTCTTCTATGAGATTTTTACAGTATGCACTTCCATAGTTGCAGAAGACCAAACAGGTAAAATCTGTTTTTAGCTGTTGCTTTTCTGATGCTTCTGGGACCAGTGATCTAGCTTGGTCCCATGTAAATGACTTCTGATTTGATAGAACTCTGTTAGGAAAGTTGCCATTGCTATTGCACTTGGTGGAAGGTACTTGGTACTTCACTTTTATTAACTATAAAATTAGTTAATTTTTACTCAACTGGTCTGAATCCTCCACCATTTAAATAATTATTTTCTGGCTGCAGTTGCAGTGTTCTGTTACCTGAGAGGAGGCAGATGTGGATTTTGTTGTCCTGGCATATTTTCTCCCTTTTCTCAATGCTGCTGGCATTGAGAAAAGCTGCCTCAGAATAAGTGTTTCATATTTCAGCCAAAAGGCTGATAACCTTAAGGAACAGTATAAATTTGGGGAGAAGAACAAATGGCATGAGGTTTATAAGTGCTCTTTTTTTCCTGGAGATGGCATGGAAAATTTGGATGCTGCATGGTCTCTCTTTCCCATAAACTTCTATAGTCCTTTAAGTGAATGAGGCACTATATGTTAGCAAAAATTATCATTTAGTTAAATTCCCACGTAGGACTGGATTTAGCAAGTAAATTGGGATCTTTCTGTGTTGGTTATTCTATACACTTATGTGTCGCGCATGCGCGCGCACACATGTCACACACACACACACACACACACACACACACACACACACACACACACACACACACACATATTGTGTGTGTGTGCACTGTAATTTCTTGGAAACTTAAAACTGGTTACAACTGTTCCACTATATTTGACTTAGGCAGTTATCATAGGATTCAGTATAAAGACTACTATATAGATACAGATACAGTCTTTATACTGAATCCTTTGATAACTGCCTAAGTCAAATATAGTAGAACAGTTGAAACCAGTTTTAAGTTTCCAAGAAATTACAGCATTTTTAATTCACTCAGCGGTCAGTCAGGTTGTCAGTGCAATTTTAGGAGGGTGTGTGGGCCTGCTTAAATGTTAACAACAAGTGTGTATGGACAGCAGCCTGGTCCCCAGGACATATGCCTATCTTCCCAGTAACTTACTGGGAAATTGTCCTTCATAGGGTATGTGGAATCTTTTTTTCTAATTGAGATCTTATTGCGAAGTTGACAACCCTTGTACTGTCATTTTTCAGGGATGAGAAATCTTTTGAAGTTAGAAAAGATTAAAATACGAAAAAGACCAACTTGAAATGTTCATTTCAAATACTATCCTGGCAGTCTTATTTTATTAGGTCCAAACCAAAACGGTTTCTCTTGGCATCCATGTTCACATGCAACATGCCAATAGGTTTGCATCAAATCCCTGTTCAGCTTTCCTGACTTAGAGCCCTAACTATCTCCGTCTTTGTTTTTTTTCCGTAATCCAGGAAAGCTGTATCACGCTAGAAATTTAGATTTTGGACTATTTCTTGGGTAAGTGTATTGGCATGTGAGTCTATCCTATTTACGAACAAAATAGGATGCATTAAAATAGGGGCCCTAAAACTTAGCTAAGGCTTAAATGCTGTTCTGTTTGCTGTTGTCATATAAGTAATTGATTAGAAATGAAATTTGAATCCATATTCACTATCTGATATAAGAACAATGCAAATAGTTAACTGTAGAAACAATGAACCATAAATTGTGTGTGAAATAAGTATGAGTTTTATAATTATTTTCGGAAGTAGAGTCAATGGTGCATTCTAACATGATTTTTTGTTTTGTTTTTTTTAACTGTCTGTTCCTATACTTTCAAGTTGTTGGCAGTTTCTTTTTATTAAATAATTTAACCCATATAGATATATGGCCCTAATAACTGAGACACATAGGCTGCTCGCAGATACTTAAAAAAGAAATGCCTTACTGGAAAAAGCAGCATATTACTTTGACTGACTTCACAGTGTCTGTATTGATCAGGTGCTTCAGAGGAGCTTTTTGGAGCTTTTGTCTAAAACTGATTCAATCAGCTATTAGATAAAAGCACTAAAAAAAGCCCCAATCTACAGCTGTTGGGCGAGCAGAATCCAGCTAACTACCCAGTGAAGATCTGGTATTTGTATCCATACAGGCTCTATCTCAGTTTCTCTGAATTTGAACTTTCTTTGAATAGTCTATGCATTCCATTGTTTAGTGCTGCTTCCAAGCAGTCTCATGTCAGGGATTTTGGTATTCCATTCATTTACATCTTTGAAATTATAAGTATATTTTTGTCAATGACATTTCACTCTGGATCTCCCTATCTTTTGTTTCAATATCTCATTTCTATGTAGGCATTTACAGTTTAATATTAAGTGTGTCTGTCCATTGGATATGTGATTACTCGGTTGCTTGAACTGCCCCTTAACCTTTCTTATGGACACTTTCCCCAAATTAACCGTAGCAAATGTATTGACATTATTACTAGAATTTCTTTGTTATTTCTTTGTTATTTCTAATGCATTTAATTGACACTTCTCAGCACCATCTTTAACTTATCCATACTAATAAAACAGCTTTCTCCAAAGAACTTTGTAGACCACGTTGTGGCTCTTTGGGTTCTCTTGTTCAGCACTATACAAATGTATGTGGTATCTTGAATGAGCTGGCAGAGCATTGCCTGCAACTTAATCTTGGCCTGAAAGAGGGAATTTGACTTCTCTTTGTCCAAGAGGTATACAATTTATGGATGCTTCTGAAATTTCAGTAGCTCCTGGAATTACAAGGAGTATTAGACTGGGTGAGGTGATTTGTGTAAAAAGTTGTTCAACAATGGATAACAGGAGATGTATTCATTTTTAACCAACCACATACAGTCTCTGCATTTCATAAATGTGTTTCTCCATTAAGCTTAATCATCTGTGCATTAAGAAATCTTAATTCCGCATTTTGTTTTGTTTTTGAATTTTTGCCACTTCTGAGCATAAAATTAAGAGCATTTGTGACAAGGATACAGATCACTGTCATGAAGTTTATATCTTATAGTTTCAGCAATAAGCCAGGTAGCTGTAGTTTAAAAAAACAAACAAACAAACAACCAGATTTTTGTGCTCTCTCTTCTAGGTGGGATATAAAAAATAGTTCCTGGACTATAACTCAGCTACTGAAGCCTTTAGTGGTAGCTCTTGAATTCCAAAGAAACAACAAAACAATATTTAGATCGGCAAATTTTGCAGGGTACATAGGCATGTTATCTGGAGTCAGACCAGTAAGTATTCCTTACTTGCAATACTAAAATAACATTTTTGGCCAGGAATGTGCTTTTTATAACACAAATTGCCTTTCTTCTAAGGACCACTTAAATATTCATATAAAAACAAACTGCTTCAGAGACTGCCATCAAATGTCTTTTTATAACTAAAATTCTGCATAAATTCTGTAACTGCCACCATTAGTCTCCCCAGATGCAGTGGGACTGTATGTATTCACAAAAGAAAAGAAAAAGAACTCCTACTGGCAGTGCTACTACATAGTTGCCCAAATAAAATATAAAAATTTGGGAGCTAAATTTTACAGCTAAAGAAACTTCATCTCAAACTTGTAATCCTACATTATCAAAGACGGAAATCTTGTAAAAGAAAAACATGGCTAAGCGATAAAATTGACAGGAGTGGCTGCTGACTTTTCTTTTTTTAATTTGTATTTTTACATGTGCATTTTCCCTATTAATTCAGGCAAGCAGAAAATGAGATCCATGTTCCTCCTCTAAGGAGAAGTGGTTTGCATGTGAATACTTTTAAGTGTTCAAATATTGATCTCTCCTGGAAAATAGAGGCTTGTATTTTAAGTGGACTTGTCTTGTTTTTATAAGCAGCTAAGACCTGTCATTCATCTACATCCTAAATGCCAACATTATAAAGATGTACTGTATTTACTTGAATACAGGATAAGATTTTTTTTGAATAACCACATCTAAGGAAACCTCACTAAATATACTGTCTGTCATTAAACTGCTGCCAAAAATAGCATGTGCTCAGTAATGGAGACCAACTATGGAGCTGATTAAATGCTGAGCATGACTATAAAACACATGGCCCACATTAGACAAAAATGCTGATGGGAACCTACCACAAGGATAGGTTAATGAAGCCCATCTGAATAAGACACATGGTAGTACCCATTAACTGCAGTCCCCTGCACTACCAATTCTTTTTTTCAAGTCATGGTGGGCCACTACATTGCATACATTTTGATTTCCTCTTCACTCCCACAGCCAAGCCTTTCTTTCCCATTTCCAATGCTTCTTGTTTCTTCACCAGTCTTTAATGCCTGGCAACCATCATGAAACAGCCCCAAACAGTTCACCCATAATCCCTCTGTCCAGCATTCCCTCTAAGTTGTGTGGTGTGCACAGGCGTGCTCATGCCATGCTGCCAGGAGTGCCTGCACAGCTGCGCACACTGCACAGCTTAGAGGGAACGCTGCCTCTGTCACCCCTTCTCTTGGCCTGGCACATATGATTAATGTGACCTGCCCTTCTTGAGCTGTAGCCAGACCAGGTTGCCCTGCACCTTATTTGCATATAATTTTTTGGAGGATCCCAGGACTTATGACAAGAACACCCAGTTCCAGTCATGAGCTGGGGGCCTAATTAGTACGTGAACCCTTTGTGGAGGGAATCTGGAGTACACGCACATACTGAGCAGTGCTGAGCTGTAGGGTCCCCATGGCTTAAAATGCTGTTGACTCATTTGGGACCCCTGCCCAATGGACTGTGTGATAAATCATGAGCCTTTGGCTTTGGACTAATATCATGCGTAGCAGGCAGGGAAGACGCACCATAACCACTAAGGCAGTTTTCCTAGTCTCTCAGGCAAGGGGTAGTTTTTCTGGCAAGGGGTAGTACCCAAGCAGAAGCAATGTATAATTAACCTCCTACTTTCATTTCCAGTAGGAAGATCTTGCCTTTATGCCCATTTTATGGAAATGGGAGACCCTTCCCTAGCTTGCTTCCATGGCTATTTGTCTGAGGGCAAGGAAACCTCAGGGCATCTGAGCCCCAAGCCTCTGGGGCTGGGCCTGCACCTCGGATGACCGCCAAAGGATCTGGAAGCATCTGAAGGCCCGGTCAGGGGTGGAGGATGTTTTCTGGTAGTAGGGCCACATATGGTTCGTGAATGACTCACGGATTTGGAATTGACTTGGCTGCTTTGACTTGGGACACAAAACATTTTCCTTTAAAAAAGTTTGTCGTGGAGATATCATGATTAACAAGGTAGAAGGTGGTTCTCCCGGGTTGAGGCCTCTTTTGCAGTCTGGACAAAGCAGTTCTTCCAGGGTGAGGCCTGTCCATTGCTCTCCAAGCAGGCTGATCCCTGCGAGTTTCCCCAAAGTGGGAAACTTGACTGGACAGTTTTGTGGTAAGGGGGGGACTGCTTTCCTTCTGGCTTGTTCCCCAGCTTTTTGGCTAGAAGAAAGTGAGATCAGGGGACATGTGGACCCCAAACCTTCCAGGCTTGCGGCTTGTATGTAGGATGCCTGCCATGGATTTGAGGAGTATCTGAAGCCCCAGACTGAGTCTGAGAGGGAGCTTACATGGCTACAGCCGTGTTTAATTCTAAGGTTATTGTTTTCAAATTTCTTCTCGCTTCCATGTACTCAGGGAGAGCAGGGTCTGACAGTAAAGAGAGGGGGAAGGCGCTGTCAAAGGAAGAAGTTGGGGGGAAGCAGAAAACAGGGGCTACCTTCTCCCCCCAATTTATTTTGCTTGATGTAGCAGTGGGAGGGGGACAAACTCAAGGCAAACCTCCAATAATTAGATTCTGTACCTGAAAAATTGTAACACTTATAAATTTTCCATATATAGAATCTAATTATTGGGGGGTCATCTTATAATCAGGGTTGTCTTCTGTATGAGTGAATATGGTACCAAGATTCTCAAACTGCTGACTTCCGTCACCACCACCTTGCCCTACATTTACCACAGCACATTGGAAATACAGAAGCAAGTCCAATCTAAGTTCCTGCACCTTCTCAAACTTCCTTTTTGCTTAAGACATAAATCCACAAGTCTACAGTTTAGAAAGAATGGAAGCTTCACTTGTAAATTCCATTACAGAGCTGCTGGAGAATCTGAGCATGCAGGAAGGGGTGGGATGGAAGGAGTAGGGAGGAGGCTAAAGGTGTAATTTTAATACTACAGTGAATGCACATAGTGCAGGGGTGGGCAAAACGTGGCCTGGGGGCCGGATGCAGCCCTCCAGGCCATTTAGAAAATTAATATTTATCTGCCCCTGGCTGCCTGTCATGCAGCCCTCGATGGCTTTCCAAAACTCAGTAAGTGGCCCTCTGCCCAAAATAATTGCCTGCCCCTGACATAGTGGGTGCATCTACGTGTGCTGTTAATGTGCAACAATAAATTCTGGAGCAGTTCGAGCTGGAGTCAACTGTTCCTGGGCACAGCATCTACACTTGCCCTGGCTCACATTGCTGCAGTCCCAGACGCGTAGCAGCCCCAGGCTGACAGGAGGTGGGGGAGAGTGGGGGGAGGGTCAGCCTTGGGTTCCTGGTGGTGACATCAGGTGGCAGAGAGGCTGGCAGGAGCTGGGGGTCTGGTCCCCAACTAGCTGGGCTGACCAGGCACAATTTGCGCCCAGCTGTCACTGTCTACACGTGTGCTTAATCACACTTAATGACTCTGCTGTAAGATAGTACTGTCCCCGACATTACTATTTTATAGCAGAGTTAATTAGTTTACTGAACCATAATACCAGCTTACATGTAGATGGTGGCACTTTACTGCAGAGCTAATTATTCAACTCCTCAGTAAAGCACATGTGTAGATGCACCCATTGAGAGTTAACCTAAATCAGTTCAAGTAAACTAGGCTTCAGACCTGGAATATTTATGAGGTCTAGTGCCAGACTGGGCAATGAATGTACTCCTAAAAAGGTGGTTGGTACTGTACTAAACCTGAATACTTTTTGATGTTCATCTATTGGTGTGAAGAAAAAATGCCCTACATTGACTTATTATAGTAGCACAGTTTTGCCAGGCTGCTTCAGTAAGCTACAAACCCCATGATAGATCGTCCATTTGTTCTTCTGGCTTACCCAAGTATTAATTAATGGGGTTCTCTAAGTAAGATTGCAAGATCAGGCCCACAGCAAAGTAAGAAGTTCTAAGGGGCCAGACAATTTCACCTTCTCAAATCCCTAAGAAAACAGTTAATGCAAAAGGTGGATGGGTTCCCCCTCTTCCTTGCAGCTTGTTATGACTCAATCTTGTGAGTAAGATGACCTTATGTTACAGAGGCAGATGCATTCATGGATTTTTCAGGTGCTTCAACAGGGTGGAATAGAATTGTGCTTAGGCATCTAATCACCTAAGGGATGACGAGGTCAAATGGTCATAAACTACTGCGAGAGCATTTCAGGCTGGACATAAGGAAGAATTTCTTTACTGTCTGAGCCCCCAAGGTCTGGAACAGCCTGCCATCGGAGGTGGTTCAAGCACCTACATTAAACACCTTCAAGAGCAAATTGGATGCTTATCTTGCTGGGATCCTATGACCCCAGCTGACTTCCTGCCCTTTGGGCGGGGGGCTGGACTCAACCTTCCGAGGTCCCTTACAGCCCTAATGTCTATGAAATCTGTGAATTTGATTAGGTGCCCAATAGGAAGAATCTGACTTAAGGTGTGTTCACTGGAAAGTATGTAAGATTAACAAGTTCACAGGATTGGGTGCATGTTCCCTAGAAAATTCACTGTTAATGTAACTTTTTACTGATGTGATGCTTGGCTTTCTCTTTATTTTATCATGAGGGTTAACTTTTCTTTATATTTCTCAGGGAGCTTTCACTCTTACAATGAATGAGCGTTTCAGTATTGATGGGGGCTACCTTGGTGAGTAACTAGACCTGTTTCTAGAATATGCAACCTGTTCAAACTTTAGGGGCAGCTGTTAATTTATGAAAAATATATGTGCGTAAAAAGTTGGTAGATGACAGCCATAAAAGAAAGGAAATACAGGGAAGCTCAGGCTCTGGATTATGTCCAGTGTGTAAAAATAAATAAATAACTAAAAATTAAAAAGTACGATGGTCTGACCACTGAGAAACTGAAGACTGTGTGTGGTTATGAAGATAAGCTGTTAAAAACCTTGTCTAAGTGTGTCCCAACCATGCAGCTGGTCCAGTAAAAGATATCACAAAAATCCTTGCACCTTTGTTGTAACTAATTATTTTATTTTTTGCAGGAGTCCTTGAATGGATTCTTGGTAGGAGAGATGGTGTGTGGATGGGCTTCCTCACTAGGGCTGTTCTAGAAAATAGTACAAGGTAACAATTTTTTCGTGATATTTTGCCTGTTTTCATATGACTTATGGTAGTGCTGCAGCTATTAACATTCAAAATCCTCATCTAGTTAACACTTGTAAAAGACTCCTCGGAGAAATGTGAACACTAAATCTGCTTATTTCGACATTCCTCCACATGCCAAACAATATGTAGGGACCTACATAAATCGTGGAGAAACAGAGGGCTTTTTATGGCACTCGGAGCTAATTTCACAGGCATTTTGCGGCAGCCCCACCCCTCACCACTGTTTGGCGGAGAGACCCTCAGGGAGGAGGGACAAGGGGGTGGCCGCCATCTTGATGGCTGGGTCCCCTTCGTGTGGCCCTGCTCCTTTTTGCTGATTGGCCCCGGGGTGGGAAGAGGAGGGACAAGGGGGCAGCCACCATTTTGATTGGCTGCCCTTTGTGTGGCCCCACCCCTCGGCACTGATTGGCAGAGGCCCCAGCAGGGGGAGGAGGGATTGGGGCAGCAGCCTCTTGCCTGCTGCCCTTCATGCCATCCTGCCAGCCAGCACCAAGGACTGCTAGCTCCCACTGGGGAGCCATCATTTTATTTTTTTATTCATTTTTTTGTTGTTGATTTTGCAGACAATCCCAGATCTTGCGATTTCTGCAAAATCCACAAAACTGCTAATTAAGTAGGTTCCTAACAGTGTGTAGCAAACTATATCACTTCCTTCGAGTTTGGTATGTGTTTCATTTTAGCAGAGCCATTCTTCAATGGAGACTAAATTAACGACTTCTAAACGTACCAGTTTATCCTACTAAAATACTTCAAGTAACAGTAAAAGAAAAAATACCACACAATGTTGGGATGGCAGTGGAAATAATGCTTTGCTACAATAAAACACTAGAGAGGCTGCAACTATATTACCGTGGGTCATAAAACTTTCTTTCTCTATCTTGGCAATAGCTAAAAATGTCTAGCAGACAGCAGATGATTCTTAATGATCAAATTTTAAACATGAACTGCTTGCCTCTGGCAAACTTTTACTGAGATATATTCCTTTAACATGCATGGCCTGTTTTTTTTTAGGGGTGTTTTGTTCTTTGTTTTGGTCATACAATTCCATTAAATTTCACCTGATCCAGTAAGACTGCCTATGTGTGATACTATGAACACTACTTCCTTGAGTATCTACGTCGATAGAGAACTTGGATAAGCTAATTCAGCCCTTTTTTATTGGTGGTATAGTTATGAAGAAGCAAAGGAGAAACTGGCTAAAACGAGGTTACTGGCTCCAGCCTACTTCATTCTGGGAGGAAACAAACCTGGGCAAGGCTGTGTGATCACTCGTTCCAGAGCAGCTACTTTGGACATATGGGAGTAAGTACACTTGACAAAGTCTCAAAAGATTCTTTCCCCTAGCTCTTAAGAACAAGATGGATCCTCTTATGTGCCCCCCCCCCCAAAAAGCTGATTCTAGTACACAATGGATGTCCTAAATATTTTTAGTTGCAGTACTTACTGTATTCAAGTATAATTGATTTGATTTGATTTTTTTTTTTTAGTTCAGTCTAAAAATATTTAATTAGCAAAGGTTTTAAAGCTTTGTGTATTAATCTGGCTGCTTATCTACTTGTAAACTTCAAATTCTTTGATTACCTTATTCCTCTTAATAAGACATTTTAAAAGATATATTTTCTAAAAATTGCCCGTGTCTTAAATTTGAAGTGGATACGTTGTATGCAACTATTATACCACTCCCCAAAAATTTGTATCATTGTAAATCTCTTAATTTGTGGAGGATCTTTTCCTTAATAGGAAGTTTGGGTGTATCTTAAATATAAGGGTGTCCTTATATGAAGGAACATGCTCCTAGTATTATTAAAATAAAGCCTTCATACTATAGAGCAAGGGAGTCAAATTTGTGAAGAGAGACCAAATTTGTGTCCTAGACCAAATCCAGACCACAAGGCTCCTTGGAGGCTGAATCCAGTTTGAAGCATACAGCAGCAACAGCTATAGCTCCAGTCTGGGGCTTATGGTAGCAGCAGAGGCAGCTGTTACTCTGGCATGGGGCATGCAGCACAGCACCAGCTCCTGCTATATACCCTAGGCTGGAGTTGTAGCTGGTGCCACATACCCTGCACTGCAGCAGCAACTTAAGCTTCAGCATCAGGTATTTGGCAGCATTAGCTGCAGTATGGCTCTGTGGTAGTGGGCAAAGCAACCAGAGAGAAACCAGGGCTATATCGGACCTTGCTTGCACTCCTGCTGCCAACTGCCATGTTCATTGGGGCCCAAGGGCCCTGAATTCTGCAGTGTGTGTCCATGTGTCCAACTTGCAGTAGCCCAGCATGCCAGATAGTGGCTCTGTGGGCTAGAAGTTCCCTTCAGGCTGTATGTTTTGACACCCTTGCTTTAAAACTCTTGGAAGGAAATGAAAAAAAATTATATCTCTTTTTGAGCTTGGACATCAAGCAAGGTACATGGTTCTTGGTAGAAACAAACTACGATCGATGGAAGCCTCCATTTTTCCTGGATAATCGTAGAGATCCTGCAAAGAAGTGCCTGAACCAGATAAAGCAAGAGGTAACATTTTTAAGTACTTTTATTTATACGGTGCTGAAATTAACTGATCTTAAGCTACCTTTATGGTGATGGTCTGAAGTAGCCAGATCCATTCAAGGCACGTGTCTTGGTACAGCTACAGCAACAGACAAGTAAGGCTTTGTGATGCAGTTTGTCAACATGTTTGTATAACAGAAAGTCCCTTTGGCAGCCTGGAGCTTTGTTGCTCTCTGGCTCTCAGTGTTTTAGGCTCAGTGGTAGGGTTCTTCCTTGTTCTAGCCAGAGACTGTCACTGCTTTGCCTTGTAAATGCAAGTATAGTTGCTTATGCAGTATAAGTGGGTAGATATTTTATCATCCCCATCTTCAAAGGATCAAATATTTCCTAAACTGTATCTAGGAATTTCATAATCGCCAGTAAAATAGCACCTGTCTTACTAAGCACCAAACACTATGAAACTGAAGTGTCCCACTCCCTGGCAAAATGTAACCTGCCAGTCTTTCATCCAAACACCTTCTATCCTGAGGATGTATTGGGGATTACATATTCTGTGTTGCTGCTTTAATCTTGTTAATTAAGTAGTCAAAGATAAGAAAGGGCTATTCTCAGCATTTGCTTGCTGCATAACTTGTACATAGCTATACCATGACAACTTACAATAAATCTACTTTCCTCTTTCAGAATCTCTCCCTAGCAACCATTTATGATGTTCTGTCCACAAAGCCTGTCCTCAATAAGGTATTGCATTATTTTGCACGTCTTGCAATGTTGCTTTATATTTTTTTTAAAAGTGGTCCCCACTCTCCAATCCTGACCAAATTCAGTCACAGACCAGGTTATGCTAATGCTGTATTTTGTTCTTTCATGATCTCTTCATATATCTAGTAAAAGCTTGAAACCAATATCTTTATTTTAAAAAGTCTTATCCATTAGGTGTGAAAACAAAGAAAATAACCATCAAGTCTAGATATACCAAAATATCTGAGAATGCAAAGGGGCCTCGATAGCATAAGGATGTTGCAGCAAATTTAATCCTTATCATCATCCCTCTTAAATATCTCCCCTTTACTAATGATAGTAAAGTTGGAAGCCCCTGCAAACTAGTGTCCATTTGATGAATAACTACTTAATTCCCTTGGTCCTACTATTAGAGTTTGTTGGTTTCGTTTTGTGTGTGTGGGGTTTTTTTTAAGGAGCAGTGTGCCAAAAGTCCTTTAATTAAAAACATATTTGTAAAATTTCCTCATGCGATTTAGGATTAAACTTGGTTAACTAATTTAAGTGTAAGACTGTGTTTTATTTAATAAAATCAATACATTATTCAAGGCATTTGTACTCACTTATTCTTGCTCTTATCCTTGCCACATGCATGTAGTAAGTAGTCTGTTATATTAAAACCAATCCAGTAACAAACTCCGCTGTTTATCTTCTAATATTAGAAGATAAAATGTAAAGTAATCAGCAAGATCTCTTCCTCAGTTCCTTGCCTACTATCTGAAACAACTGAATTGTGACTCACAATTAGCTTGCTTTCTTTTTGCTAGTTGACAGTGTGCACAACGCTGATGGCAGTTGATGGTGGCCATACAGAAACTTATCTGCGGGAGTGTCCGGAACCCTGTTGTCCCTGGTGATCCTGTCCTAGCCTAGGAGTTGAGCTCTGCCTGTTGAACTGGAGGCTTGCCAAGAAAAGTGATCTGACTGTTTCTGGAGAGGCTTCCCAACCTGCGACATTTTCAGAAGCTTGATAACTATATAGAAATGGCCATGGAGTCTTAAGGATTGAGATCCAATGCAGGATGGGTCTTGTCCACTGCTTAACTGATGGTTCAGACAACCAGCCTATACTAACCTGCTTTTGTTTCCATTTCAACTTTCTTTTTCTGCAGATTAAATACAATAGTTGCCTCTGGGTCTCTACTAATCTTCTGGTACTTCAAAATTTGACTCTTTTAATTTTAGACCAAGAATTTTTTTTAATTAAAAAAAATGGAATAGGAACAGTACCCTCTTAGTACTAGAAATTTTTTGATTAAATTAATTTGTAAATGTTTTTATTATGAAATGGGTACATACATAGGTCTTAAAATTAATTTTATGAGTCCAGTGTTAAAGGCATTTTTAAAATGTCTTGGTATAAAATGGCTTATCTATAAAGTAGCTAATTTTACAGTTAGGAAGCAGCTTGGTGTAGATCCAAGTCAGAAGCAGCTGTTAGCATTTTGGAGATTGTTTTCCATGTTTTTTGCATTTTAAGAAAAAAGTCAGGGTTTAATGCATTTTCATAGCATTAATAGATATGAATCACATTAAGTCATTATCTGGAAATTGTCTTTGAAAACTATCTCTTTTCTGTCTTAAGATGATTGTATGCTACTCATTTGTGCATAAAATATCAACTTCTGCAAAACTTTGTACTGTATCACAGTACACGTGAAAGTGGACCCTTTGTTAACAGCACATAGCAGTACTTTTATTTATGTTCCTGGCAGATAAAATGACCATTAGTGGGCACATCTACACAAGATGTCACACGTGCAGTAGACTGATTCTACTATGCAATAGCGTGGCAGGCAAAAACCTTGGTAATATGCAGTAGAATTAGTCTGCTGCACATTAGCATCACCTAAAATGCATGCACCAGCACTACTAGGCAGTAGCGCCAGTTCCTGTGCATTTAGTTTAGTACCTGTGATAAGAGGTACTAAACTAAATGTACAAAAACCACTGTGCATGAAAGCATGTGTAGACGTGCCCAGTAAGTATCAGGCTGAACTGTGTGTGAAGTTGGACAGAATTAGTAGTGTTTTTGTGGAGTGGAAGGAAGGTTAGTACTGTTTCTGCTGTAAGTGGATTTTTTTTTAATGAAAAAAAAAATCATTAACGCAAGAAAGAAGGAAGGCAAAGTTTGGGACAAAATTCAACCTATAAAGGGAAAGCTGGGATTCTTAAATAAGGTGCCCTAGCATCCATTTTCATTAAGCTGGTTGCCTGCTTTCTAGGATTCTTCTGAGTATGATAATAGCCATTTCTCGCCTCTGGATTTTTCTTTTGTTTGTTTGCCAGTGATTACACCTCTAAGATTTAGCTTTCCATCTCCAGCTTTGTACACTTAACATGAAGGACCAAGTGTATTCTCTTTGATTTTAAACTAACAACTTCTGTGTTTTTAATTTACACTGTAAAATCTCTTGCCTATCTTTATGATGGTATTTATAATGCCTCTCTGAAATTGGTATAAAATTCATAATTATTTTAGTCTACCATTCTCATAGGAAAGCATACCTAAATCATCTGCTGCCTTTGATGCTTTATTGCCTTTTGAAGCTTTTACTAAAAATATCTGTTTTAAGGCATTTAAAATAACACATGGTAACATGAAAACTAATTTTTAACTGCTTTAGTATCAAACTTTTAAATCACTTATGAAGTCAGCAATTCTTGATACCGATGTAATTAAGATTTTTTTTTCAGAGAAATTGAGAATAATGACCATCCAAAGCAACAAGCTCAGGATTCTCTGCAATAGTTAGAAATTAAACAAAAAAAATACTTTTGTTCCAACTAGCAAGCTGGAAAGTCTGCAGGGAAGGTCTTGTCCTTTTAAAAAAATATACACAGCTGAGTACAAATTTGATTAAGCTGGTTAATGCTGGAAATATCTTTAATGCTAATATACTGTGGGGACAAATTTAGTTTCCACCTTGTCATACCACTGATTTTAAATTAATGTGGAATTTTTATTAGTTTTTAAAATAATAATGCCTTAAGGAAGAGTGACAGTAAGTTTGTCTTTTCTTTTTTTTTAAGTGGGCTATCTGTTAATGGTAGACTGAGGGTGTGGAGAGAGAACTTTTGAAACATTTCCAAGTGAAGTGAGCTTGGAAGCATTTCAAAAAGATACAGATCTGTGACTTCCATCCAGGAGGTGCTAGAAGAGGTTGCAGCAACATGCAGCTCTGCTCCACCCCTCTTTTGATGGGGATGAGAGATTGGAGAGTGCTGGAATGGAGATAAGCAGAGGACTCATGGGGAAAGTGGGTGGATGGGGCTCTCTACTACCTCTGAGATTCTAACACTTCAGTTCCAAATCTGCTGAACCCCGCTCTTCTCAGTGGAGTGAAGAGGAGAGCTGGAATGGCTGGCAGTGGGAAGCCCTGGAAATAGTGGGGTCTGTGGAAAACAGATGATGTGATATGCACAGGGAATCCATGCAAGTGAAATGCTTCAAAATAGTACTTCCATTTCAAGAGGTGCTGCTTTTGAAACATTTCAAAGGGCATGTTTATACAGCTGGTCTTTTGAAATGTTCCAGAAGTGTTTGAAATGTTTCAGTTACTTCTGTCCACACCCTTATTCCATGAGTTACACTCCGTTTTGCTAATGTACCAAAAAAAATGTATTTTTTTTTGCCTGAGAATCTTGAGTAATTAAAACCTTAATCATCTAAAAAAGTAAATGGAAACTGGCATACAGGCGGGCAAAGTGAAATCTAGGTTTTTTCAGGGGAGATGGGATCTTCAGTAAATCTCAGAGTAATGGAATAGGATCCAAGACTCCTAGCTCTTGGTCTCTTCTCCAAATAGTGAAATGCCCTGCTTGAATACATGGTAAGAGTGGCATTGTACTACTTTTATTCCTTTTTGTTCAAGTCAGCTGAATTAAGTGCCTCTGTGTGTGCCTAATTATAAAAATAACAAGCAAATAACTAGAAACATTCTTACCTGCAAATTCATATAGTTCAACATTACCCCATACCCAACTTTTAATCTGATTTCCACCCCCCCACCAAAATGATGGATTTGAGTAATATTTTTTACTAAGATATAAGCATATCAAGAGCATACTAGAGACCAAAGTTCTTATTTCCAAATATGTCTGTATTTCATAACACCTTTGTATATATGAATGTAGTAATTAATAATGGGCAAAAGATTCGAAGGTAGACAAATGTTGCACCACTTCTCATAAAGAGCTAAAGTGTAAGCTACTAAACCCACATCCTAATCCAGGATGATTATATAAGAATTTCATTGCTTAAGGTTATGTAGCATAAAATAAAACAGTGCTTCTTGGAATGTGGTCTAAAATTTCAATGGCACTTTTGTTTTCCTTTAAGTAGCAAACACGTGGATCATTCCTTGTGCAAAATAACTCAGTCTTGTTGCATGATGTCTCTGATTCTGACTGAATTGCATTTTTTGTTTATGTAACTTCAAATAACTGAAACCTGCTGGAACCTGCATACTCATGGACTTTGCGATATTTCCAACCTAAGAAAATAAAACTGAAAAAATTATAGAGAAACTATGCTTGCTGTCACATTTTCTATAAAGCTTCTCTGCAACAATTAATTGAATGGTGTATTACTTTGTGTGTTAACTTTCATGTGTAAATTCAGGAAGGACCTTTTACTAAGAGAATTCTTTCAAGATACATTGGAATTATGTTGTTTTAAAGAAATATTATTCTATGAAAAGAATTCTTCCTTCTGGACTTTTAGCCAGCAGAGTCCCTTCCCTCTGCTTAAGTAAAATTAGGCATGGAGGCAGTAGCAGATGCTGAAGAAGGAAGAGGGCAATTGTATTTCTACGTGGATTTATTCTGAATAGATTGTTGGCTTGAAAATAAGAGCACCTTCAGATAATACTGAAGGGAGACTAAGGGAGGAGGAAGAAAAAAAAAAGAGAGAGATTCCTTCTACCCTTGTCCAAATGACATACCAGAACTACAGCTTCATGGCCAAATGCTCATAGGCATGAAGTTCAGATCAGCATTTTGTTTTTCAAGCCAGATCACAGAATCATAGAAAATTAGGGTTGGAAGGGACCTCAGGAGGTCGCATCTAGTTCAATTCCCTGCTCAAAGCAGGACCATCCCCAACTAGATCTTCCCAACCAGAGCTTTGTCTAGCCCGGTTTTGAAAACCTCCAAGGATGGAGCTTGACCACCTCACTGGGTAACCTGTACCAAGTGTTTTACCACCCTTCTAGTGAGAAAATTATTCCTAATATCTAACTTAAACTTCCCTTAGTGCAAGTTGTTCCTTGGTCTGTCATCTGCCACCACTGAGAACAGTCTAGCTCCATCTTTGTTTAATCCCAATGGACAACTTAAAGAATGTTTTCCCTTGAGTGAGTTGCTACCTGGAAATTATTCATCCTTTTCTTGTCTTACCTGCTTCTGTTTAATAAAAATGGGAACCATGTATTTATTTGTGAGCACAGGAGAAAATTATAAATTCATCCCAGGCTGCTGAAGGAACCAGCTGGCTGAAAAGATACTGGATCTCTTGACAAAATATTTACTTGTATGTGGGAAATGGGTTACGTTTCAGAGGACTGCAAAAGGTCTTACCTAGTACCCCACTTTAAAAAGGGGAAAGGAGGACCCAAGGAATTATTAAGTACAAATGCCAAACAAACTCGACTTCTTTCTTTAGCAAAATCTTCAGTTGAGTGAATGAAGGGAATTCAGTGGATATAGTATATTTGGACTTCAGTAAGACTTTTGATAAAGTCCTACATTAAATTATAGGTAAACTGGAGAAATGCGGGCCAGGTAATTATAAAGTAGATTGGTAACTGGCTCAACCAGAGGCAAAGAATAATTATAAGTGGACCCGTGTCAGAAAGGAATTTTCAAGTGGAGTTCCATAAGAGTCTTTCCTGGATCCACTGTTGTTTATCATATTTATTATTTTGATGGCTTTATAGGAAACCTTGAGATCAAGTGTTGCAGGTGACAAAACTGAGAAGGATTCCAAATACTTTGGAAGTTAGGAGTGGCTTTTAAAAGGATCTTGGTAGACTGGAGAGCTGAACTAGAGACAGTCCCAATAAAGTTCAGTGCAAGCAAACCTCTAGGGAAGAATAACCAAGTACACAAATACAGAACGAGAGAGAAATGGCAAGTATCAATATTACTGAAAAGGATCCAAGTTACAATGGACCACCAGATATGCTGAGGATGATGCAGAGGAAAAGAGTAGGATATAAAACAATGGCTATAAATTGCAGTAAAATAGATTTAAATAACATCTCAAGAAAAGCCTTCCTTACTGTTACAACTATGAGGCAGTGGAATAAACTGCTTGGGGAAATTGTAGAATCCCCTTCACTAGAGGAATTTCAAGAGCACACTGGTTAAGCATTGAGTAAAGATTTGGGAATAGCAGTACCACATCCTTGAAAGGGGTTGTGTTGGATGACCTCAAGGTCCATTACAGCCCTGTGATTCTCTTTATTCTTTCCATCTCTCTCAGGAGGAAGAGTACTTATTGCTAGAAAGTGGAAATCCGTGTCTCTTCAACTATTAAGTTATTGCCAAAAAGACAGGATTACTGTTCCTGGAAAGCTATGTTCATCTAGCAAATATATTACTGGATTACAAAGTACTCTGGGTCCTGGAATTCTGTTCTGGTTAGTCATCCATGATATAATTTCTTAGCCTTTAGGACACTTTTTAGCTATGCTTGAGAGAGTTTCATACTGTGGTTATTGTTACTCTTTCCTACAATGGTCTGTTTTTCACAAAGCTGCCAACATGGATAGTGGGCACGTCTGCGCATGCCCCTACTGCACCATTGTTACTATGTCACTATTTAGTACTTTCTTTTGGAAGTATTAAATGATGGC